CCTTCCTTCCTTCCTTCCTTCCTTCCTTCCTTCCTTCCTTCCTTCCTTCCTTCCTTCCTTCCTTCCTTCCTTCCTTCCTTCCTTCCTTCCTTCCTCATGCATCATAGTGTTGTAGCATTCTTCCTCCTCCTCTAGTAATGAGGATTGGGCCATCTAACCGTAATGAGCACCCAGGCTTGCACTGTCAGTTTTTTTTTTCTTAGAGGAAGAATTAGGAAGAAGAGAGACCACCCTCATATTGCTGTAAGCATACTTGGGGCTTTGTTTAAAGTAGAATACAGTTATCTTTTTTCCTTCATTTCTATGTGACTTTTTTTCCCTTTTGAAAAATGCAGAAAAGACTTGGTGGATAGAAGACAACCCACCTTTAATGCATGGGCCCTACTTTAGAATGAAAAGAAGTCAGGAAAAATCAGAGAAGAAAGATTGTGTTGTCCATCCTCTACCAGTGAATGCTGGAAGCTGAGAAAAATGCAGTTGGACACAGGAGGAAGGCAAACAACTCAAAGTTGATGGCTGCCTTTTCCTTTATCCTGTGAATCTGGGCCATTCCTTCACTTAGGGCTGAACATTTACATTTAACTTGTAAAACTGTGTTTAAACTGTCTGTCCTGGGGGTGTTGGGGAGAGTAGTAACAGGCATTGATTCCAAATGGGATCCCTCTTGACTGGGTTCCTGCTCTAGTTTCCTGCAGAAAAATGTTCGCTTTCTAACTGAAGGTTTTGCCTGGATGTTACAAGGTAAAATGCACGCACTCTTTCGTTAGCCAAGAGTGATTTGCATGATTTCTTCTGTCCATCACATTACGGCTAGCAAAGGACTTAAATTGGAGGTCTTCTAGTCCAGCTCCCTCCTAGACTTTGACAATATTCCTTCATATGAATTCTTTGCACTTACTTCAAATTACCTCCCCGTTCCACTTAAATAGACTTTTTGGTGGATTCATTGATGAGAAATTAAGTCAAAACTCTTCCCCTACTCCAGGCAGTTACTTCTTTTTCAAGTGGGTCCTTCTATGTGAAGTATGTTAGAAGAGGCTTTATGTTGCCAGCAATTAGAATGTTAATCACATCAGTACTTTGAAGTATATCATAAATGACCATGCTATTTGTCTGTGGCTTGTAAAACGAGTTACTTTGGTACCTGCACTGTTAAACAGTATATGCTTTGGAGAAATGTTTCTGTTCACGTAGTAAAGTTTGTGGTATGCTTTCTTGCTGTCTCTCCCTCTTTTCCTTTGTTAAAAGGTATATGCCTGGGGCTATAACAACTGTGGGCAAGTTGGGTCAGGATCAACTGCAAACCAGCCAACTCCTCGCAGAGTCTCCAATTGTTTACAGGCTAAGGTAGCAGTCAGCATTGCCTGCGGTCAAACTTCTTCCGTTGTGGTCATAGATAATGGGGAGGTAAGCCTTTGGTGGCCTTCCACATTTGCCTCTGTTTCTGCAAACAGAAGTGTTCCTGTATAAGTATTTCATGGAAAATGCACAACAATGTTGTTTAGTTATTGGGTGTTTTTTTAAAAAAAATCCATCTACTTGTTCTGCAGGTCAAGATTACATTTTACTTTCTTGCACAAGGATGTTTTCATTCTTTCTGAAGATAATTGTGGAGGATTTTCTGGTGGTAGTGAAAATGGCATATATTGGTGAAGTGGGGAGCAATTTTCAGTCACTTTCCCTCCCTTGCATTTTTTAAAAATTATCTGGAGGATATGAACTAGCCCAAAATTTATAGATTAGCCAAACCCTCAAAATTTTTCCAGTTCAATTTGGAAAAAATGCTTAACAAGAGAATATTTTTCAAATAAAATAGAAAATTATGAGAAGTTTTAAAGTAGCAAGTGTCTATCTCTATTCAGCGAGAAAATCTTCTGTCTCAAAGCTTTGAAATTCAGCCAATTGCACGCGAAGAGTAATATTTGAAGTGAACCCAAAAATAAAATAGAAATGTGTGATGTGGGGAGATGAGGTAAGGAGCTGCAGAATGAAGACAAACCTTGTTCTTGCGCTTCTGGAGACTGGCTTAATTCAAAGAAAGAATTACGCTTTTGTTCTCTTTAAACACATGTCCAATGAAAATAAATTCAGAAGTAGATATGAGCAATTCAGATAAGTTTTCTGAAATTCTGCAGCCTTGGTAATACCTGGGAAAAGATGGCTAGTCTTCAATCCGTGAGACCTTTTGATTTACATCTCTTATCATTCTTTATAGCTTTATTATCCAGAGATCCCAGGGCTGTTTTCCAAATAGTACAGGCCTTTAATACTCATTTAAGGAGTGTTGGTACCGGATCTAGGATTCAGTGACAATAAGCTCAAACCTGTGTGAATGCCAACAGGTTTTACTGGAATAAACTAGAGAGTTACAGATGAAAAGGAAATAGACCAGTTTGTGCTTCTTTGGTTTGTCAGAAACTTCCAGAATGATAGGGGACAAGTTGCCTGGAACTGGCTGCAAGCTGCATAGCATCTTCCTGGGTCATAACTTAGCCAGCTGATCGACTGCCCAAGATAACTTTAAGTGTAAGGTATGGTCCCTGGACTACAATACCTAGAGTCAGCCCAATGACATTTCTTGTCAATGGCAGGTAGCCTTTCTTCCAAGTATCTTAAGTGAAGTATTGTCTTTAACGACTAAAATGCTGGTATTCATCCCCCTCTCTGCAGGTGCTGAACTAGGGAGTTCATGCTAATTCTCTTTATCTTAATTGTTACTAGTAGTGATAGAGATAAAAGGCTCAGAAACGGGTGATTGCATAAAAAGTGCAGTCACTTCTGAAGTACCGTAACTGTTACAAGCATAGGTATAGAATATCGGACTTATATGTGCCAATAGAAAGCAGATCATACTATTACACTTTATCTTCCACAATGGAGAGTAGCATTGATTCAATCCTTCTTGGATTGGACTTGTATACAGACTTGTGTCCCTCCCAAATAATCTGTAAACTATGGAAGACATTTTTGCCTCTGTAAAAAAAACACCTTAATATAAAATTAAGATTTCTCCTCTGAAATAATAAAAGTATATTTATGAACATAGGTAATGAGAAAGGAAATAGTACAGAATTTAAAATAAGGTCTCCTTTTGAACTTCTACTAGTTTAGCACTTCTGTTCTCCCAGAACAGGAGATGTTTGGGTAGAAATAAAGTATATGGCTAATTAACCTCCTCCTCACTCCAGGTCTATGGCTGGGGTTACAACGGCAATGGACAACTTGGTCTGGGAAATAATGGCAATCAGTTAACTCCATGCCGAGTGGCAGCGCTTCAAGGTGTATGTGTGATGCAGGTGAGTATAGAGATCTGTGTTTTCTGTTACTTGAATGATTGTTGGGAAATTGTCCCTAATCTGGGGAAGATTCATTGTTAAGGTGATAAGGGAAGTGTAAACACAACCCCGCTAATCTCTTCCAATTCTCATTTTGTAATAAATGGATAGGAAATCACATGCCTTTAAAGCATGCAGACAACTGCATTCTTAGATGTTCCTAGAGAATGACCTTGGGATATTTAGAGCAAATGAAACAAAAAGTTTCCTGAAAGCTTGAGCGAAATCAAGTGTAGCCAAATCAGTTTTAGTCCCTTGGCCTTTATCTTTTGCCCTTCATAGTTTATAAGCAATCCTGTCCTTTTTCTTCAGTACATTATAGATAGCTCTGTTGAATTTCTACAGCTTAAGTATGCCATTTGTGGACAAGAACTAAGAGGCACCAGAGGAGATGATAGCATAGATTGGTCTGTGCTGTTGCCTGGCACAATAATTGCTTTCACAACATTTGGAATCTGCATAATATACAACATGTAATATCTGAAGTGCAAAGTCAGAGCTGTGGTACAGGCATTCTTGAACATTTTGTGTTTCAGCTTTCCAGCATGTTTGATGTCTTGGCTTCTGTAATAGCAGGCACTAGCAGGAACAATTAAAGAGTACAGGTAGTCCTTGACTTATCACCACAACTGAGCCAGAAATTCTGGCCGTGAGTCATTGCAGCTCTAAGTTGAGTTACCATATATGACCAGACTCAATTATATAACTATTTTTTACAACGTTAAGCGACTTACTGCATCACAGCCATAAGTTTTTTATCCCGCTTATCCAATGGTGCCTTTGCTAGAAAACAAAAAAAAAATGTTGCAAAATGTGATCACATGATTGCTGGATGCTGCAAACAGCTATAAATGCAAGCCCACTCCCAAGCACCCAAAACACAAATACATGAGTGCAAGGGTAGTGCAGCAGTCATAACTTCATGGATGGGTTATAACTAACCTTTTTCAAGTTTGTTATAACTTTGAACTATCATTTAGCTGCGGTTCTAAATCAAGAACTACCTGTATATGCTTCAGATGTCCTGTGAATACCTCACCTCTGCTCTTCATTAAAGCAGCCCACATTTTGCAGACTTGGAGATTATAAAAGGAAGCTGCTACCTAAGGGAACCCACTCATTATAATTAAGGTGAATTCATAAACCATAAATATCCTTTTTCAGTCTTGTGTGGGAACCTGGAAAAGATTGATCTTATTTCATGAAGAGCAGAAAGATGCTATGTTCGCTAGAGGTCGTTGTTTCCCTCTAATAATTGTGGAAGTGTGCACAGCCCTAGCAGGGGTATAGATTTGGGATTGAAGAATTACCAATCAGTTTTTAGAGACTAGCCCAATTGATATGGTATAAATATGGTATAAAACTGTTAATAACTGAAGTTTTTATGCCTTCTGTAAGGGTTTCTCTTCTAGCATATCAAGCATGCAGCTTGTATTATGCTTCAGTGATAAACCCCTTTCACTGCTATCCTGGAGTGGTATGTATACTAACTCCTGCCTTCTTTACAAACTTATTTGCAGATTGTCTGTGGCTATGCACACACGCTAGCACTAACAGATGAGGGTTTACTGTATGCCTGGGGAGCAAACACTTATGGGCAGTTGGGGACTGGCAACAAAAGCAACCATCTCAGCCCAGTGCAAATCATGATGGAAAAGGAGAGGTAAATGCCACTGCAGCTAATGCTTGGTGAGCTGGGATTAGGGTTGTATCAGCAACCTCCAATTCATGGCTCTGGAAAACAGATTCATGCATGCATTTTGTTAATGAGGATTTTGGGTTCATGGGGAATAATCCAATATATAGTACAAAAAGGCTCTTCCTGATTTTCCTCTCTGTGGCTCCGAGAATCCAGAGAGAGTGGGTAGGCTCGAACCCTCGGCCTATTGGACTGAGTCTGCACATGGATTGAAGCTCTGCCCTGCACCGTGGCCACAACCCAGTTTTCGACTCAGTCCAGCCAGGACGGACATGAATTCTGGGGCTCCACTTTGCATTGCAAGTGGAGGCCTTTTTCTGCATTAAAAGAGTTTTAAAAGTGAAAGAACAGCAATTTGGAGAACTGCAGCCAGGAGAGAGGGTTGTTTTTACCCCCTCCCAGTCTTGGTGGGAACGCTTAGGGTGGCTGCCCTATAGCATTTTAAACCATGACTGTGTGGGAGCGGTTGGAGCAGCTTCCAGCGATTGGCCCAATAAAGGCCTTAGCTATTTGGCGTGGTGGCACGGCAGCAGCACAGGTGATCATCCCATTTGAAATCAGCTGCAAAGCGCAGTAGCGCAGCACCATGTGGCAGAGCGGGCGACCAGCCCCGATAAAAAAGAGGAGCGCTTTGCAGCAGCAGTCCACTTCATCTGGCAGTCGGCCCAATCCCAGCTGGGCGGCGCAATTGTTTGGCAGTGGTTGGCGTGGAAGAGAGAGGATTCATGAAGGCCCAGCTGGTGGTGGCAGTTTTGGCCATGTTGCCAGTGCTGGGTGAATGGTCACAGCACTGAAGGTTTGCATGGTGTGACAGTAGACCTGTACACAGGTCCTTTCCTTGCTTGTGGTTGACCAGCAGGGCGTGGCTGCAGCCCAACAATAGGCCTCTCCAGGCCTGCTTCACCGGTTCAGAGGTTAGAGGAACTGTTTTATTCTGGATGGGGCCTAGAGGGCAAGGTAAGAAGTTACATGTGAAAGTAACTCTTCATCCTCTCCCACACCAGGAACCCACCTCTCCCTCTGGCAGTTCTACAGCCCCTAACCCACCAGCTAAGATAGCGGATACAGAACAGGAAGGTGGCCATAGCCCCTCTACATGTAGGGGTAGCTCTAGAGGCAGGCAAAAGAAAAAGGCTCCTGAACCTAAAAAGCCTTCCAGGGTAGAAGAGAAGACAAAAAGCACTAGAAAAACAAGTTGAGAAAAGCCAGCATATGACTGGGAGGAGGAGCCTCAGATCACCATCCCCAGATGAATCAGCTTCAGCCCCCAGTTTTACAGATGGAGCCTGGGCCTACTTCTACTACATATAAGCCTCATTTACAGGCCTGGTCCCCTGATGGCTCATCTGCATCTGCTGAGCCTCAGCTTCTAGAAGGAGCCAGGAATTACAAAAGGGATCCTCACACAGCCTTCCAGGATGATTCTTGGGAACCTTTTCCTAAGAGACTTAGACCAGGAACTTTTATGCAGGCCTGCATGACCCTGTGGGGGCAGAACAAGAATTGCCTACTCACATGGAGGCAATTATCTCAAAAGCAATTAGGCAGGGAATTGTGGAAAGCCTTAAAGCAATGAGAAGGCCTGAATCTGTGGCGTCTGAATATTCAGACCTGGAGCCTTCCATCCATTCTAGAAGTAGATAATCCTTGAGGGACAGGGCTTCTCCTGACCCATCCATCCATAACCTCCCAGCTAGAGCACCAGAGGAAGATGAGAGAATCTGACTTCTCTGAGGATGAAGACATGGCCTCTGAGAGACCAGCCTTCTTTGGTCTCTTTGAATCCCTTTTTGCCCCCCCCATCTCTCAATCTCCACTCTCTTAGTCTCCCCTCTCTGTTGTATTTCTCTTTTCTGTTGCTTTCTGACATTGTATCGATTTTTCACCTTATTTTTCCCTTTCTTGGTTGCTTTTTTAAGTTCTGAATTCTCCATTTTCTTTCCCCCCTTTCTCTTTTCTTCCTCAATTAAGATTATTTGTCCATGAAAGATGGCTTCTTCTTCTTCATCCCAACTTTCTTGTTGTATTTCCTGGTAGGTAGAAATCGCCATTTCTAAAAAATGAAAAATAGATCCAGAAGAGCCCTTGCCTTCTTGTTCCTCTTCTTTTAACCTTTGAAATTCCATTTGCAATTCTTCAACAGATAATGCCATTATCAAGAGAAGAAAGATTAAAAAAAAAACCCAACGCAAATATTTTTAAACTTTCAAGAAATAGTTTCCAAAAGTCACAAAGTCACAAAGCAGTCCAAATCAAGACAAACTATTTTATTTAGCACTTTCTTCTTTTTATATTTTCTCTTCCTGGGGTAGAATTCAATTATACAGTTCCAAAATAATTTTTTAGAAGTCTTATTGCCATTTATTTCTGGTTTTATAAACGCCAAGCAGTCTTCTCCAGTACAATCTTAAAATAAGTTCTTTACCTCTTCCTTCCCACTTATAGCAAAAAGATTTTAATTTTTAAATCCAATGTTCAAAAATCTTTTATCCCCTTGGCTTTAATTTTCAAGTTTAGTTACCTTCTGTGCCCAAGCAGGTTTTTCAGATTTCCATCTGCTATTTCCGTAGGGAAGGAGAGTGAGAAAGAATAACTTTCCCTTTCAACTTTCTTCCGCTGTTTTTACAGTCTTCTTGGGAAACAATGTATCGTTCAAAAGATTAAATTTCCAGGGTATTTAGAGGTTCCTTATTGTCCCGGTTCAGCCAAAAAACTTTCACTTTCTCCGACTTCCTCCTGCACAATCTTGTCCGGCTGCAGGCTTCTTTGTGGCGGCCATTGCTGACCGCCACTCCACAGCCTTGGGAAAACGGAGTTTAGCTGGCTGAGGAGAGGGTTTGTGATACCCCCAAACCCCTACCCGGATCTCCCCTGTGTTCGGTTGCCTCTTCGGGGTAACCATATCCTCCAAATCCAGTTGGATCGGAGGCACTTTGGCGGCGAGCGCAGCGGGAACCGCGCACAATCGCAGATTCCTGCTGCTGCCGAAGCCTTGCAAACCGGAAGCCCAGTGGAGAGCTATTCTTGACCTTAAAAGGCTCAATAAATATTTATGTTATAAGTGTTTCAGGATGCATTCGCTACAATCTATTCTGGAGAGTCAGGGAGGGTGACCTCCTCACCTCAATTGATCTGACAGAGACTTACCTGCATATCAGTATTTGCCAGGAGCACAGGGGGTTTCTACGCTTCAGTTATACTGCGAGACACTTTCAATATAGGACTATGTCCTTTGCTCTATCTTCTGCCCTGAGAGTTTTCACTAAGATTCCAGCTGCTTTGGTATCTCACTTAAGAACCATCCCGGTAAGGGTGCAGTGTTACCTGGATGATATCTAAATTCAGTCATCCTCAAAGGACTGGGCCTTGAAGGACTGGGCCTCCAAGGTGACAGTTTCCCTTTTGCAAGACCATGGTTTCTCAATTAACCACAAGAAGAGTCATTTCATATGAACCAGATGTTTATTACATCTTGGAGCATGTCTTGTAAGCTGTTCCTTTCACAGGAGTGCAAGGATAGTCTTCAAAAACTTGGGGGGATCATAAGGGCGGATAAGACCGCTTTGGCACTTCTTTCCCAACTCTTAGGCAAGATCGTCTCTTGCATATCCATCGTGCGTTGGGCTAGGTTGCATTCTAGAAAATTACAGTGGTTCCTCTTGCTCTACCAAAAGGCAGGCAAGAGCCATTTGTCATTTAAAATCATAGTCCCCAGGTCAGTCAAGCAGTCATTGCTAGGGTGGTCTTCCCAGACAATAAATGCACGTCACTTATTCAAAGAGCCGCCTCACCTGATCACCTCCACTGATACCAGTCTCTTTGGCTGGGGGGCTCATCTGCAGTCACAGTTGGCTCGAGGCCAGTAGTCTGTTTTGGAGAAAGGAAAAAAATATCAATTGGTTAGAGTTGAGAGCGGTAAGATGGGCTCTCAAGAAATTCAGAAGCACTATACAGAATGCACATATCCTCATTTTGACTGATAATGTCACCACTAAGACACATTAACAGGGTGGCGCCAGATCCAGGGCTTTAATGTTGGAAGCAGAATGTCTGGGTCTATGGGCAGAGAGGAATCTCTTATCCATCAGAGCAGAATATATTTCTGGGGTAGAAAATGTACAAGCGGACTGACTTAGCAGGGCCAGAATTGACCCCTCAGAGTGGAGTATCCTCCCTCTTTTATTTCAGGAGCTGACACAACAGTTTGGACTACCGGTTGTGGACCTGTTCGCTACAAACAATGCCAGACTCCCCAGTTTTTTCACCAGGTTTGCAACACGGGGCAGAAAGGATCAATGCCCTCAGGAGCAGGTGGCCTCAAGGTCTCCTGTATGCCTTCCCTCCTCTTCTGCTTCCACCTGCGGTCATCAGAAAGGTACTGGAGGAGAAGGCGGAGGTCATACTTCTGGCTCCTTACTGGCCCAGATGTCCCTGGTTTGTGGATCTGGTGAATCTCTCAATCACCCAGCCATGGAGGATTCTTCCTCACAAAGTTACGTTACACCAAGGGGAGATAACTCATCCAGAGCCTCAGTGTTTCCAACTGACCGCATGGTAGTTGAGCGGAGAGTTCTGAGGAAACAAAACATATCAGAAAGAGTCATCCACACTATATTAGCAGCTAGGAGACCTTCAGCCAACTGCATTTATGAAACCACATGGAGGGTTTTCTGTCAGTGGTGCACTCCCACTTCTGCTTCAGTAGCCAAAATATTGGAATTTCTACAGGAAGGGCTTGACCAAGGGCTCTCTGCCAACACCCTACGTGGGCAGGTTGCTGCCCTCTTCTCTGTCTTGTATATTCATAGGAAGGGGTCCTTGTCTTAACCAAACTATCAGTTGGTTCCTGAAAGGAGCTTCAAACCTTAAATCATCAGTGATCCATAGGTTCCCCACTTGGGATCTCTCTAAAGTGTTAAAGGTGTTAGTGATCCATTTGAGCCTCTCAGATCCATCAGTTTACATCTGCTATCACTTAAGGTAGCCTTTCTAGTAGCCATCATTTCAGCTAGAAGAATCTCCAAGATGGCTGCTCTTTCAGTCAGAGAGGATCTGTGTATTTTCCACCCAGATAGGCTTGTGTTGAGGTTAGACACCTCTTTCATCCCCAAGATCAATTCAAGGTTTCATAGAGCCCAAGAACTTATATTGCCAAATTTCTGTCCCAATCTTTCGCATAATTTGGAACGAGTGTGGCACACTCTGGATGTTCGCAGAGCAATAAAAATATAGATCTGGAGAACATGCCCAATCCGTAATACAGAGGTACTTTTTGTGTCCTTTCAGCTGGGCACAATAGGTTTAAAGGACTCTGTTTACAGTGTGTAGATGGATTCAAGCTTGCATATCTAAGGCCTATCAGGTCTCTTCCTATGCCTCGAGGGGTGACTGCCCACTCTACCAGAAGTGTGACAACGACGGCAGCATGGGCCACACAAGCACCCATTGAAGAAATCTGTTGAACGGCTACATGGTCATCACCATCACCATTTATCAGACGTTACTGATTGGATGCCTTTGTGTTGGCTGATGCAGCCTTTGGCAGGAGGGTTCTACAGAGAGCGTTCATATGAGCCAATGTGAATAGGACCAGCCCTCCCAGGGACAGTCCAGCTTTGGTATGTCCCACTCTCTCTGGACTCTCGAAGCCACAGGGAGGAAAATGAACATTGGCTGACCTGAATGTTCCTTTTCTCCTGTGGCGTAGTCCAGTCCCACCCTTATTCGTCTGGTCTGGGTGTGGGTTGGGAGGAGCGATAATATACGTCCTTTTTTATCTTGCAACTATAGAATCACGTCCAGTCTGCCAAGTGCTTTGTTGAAAGCTGGGGCCCGGCCACAGTGCAGGGCGGAGCTTCAGTTTTAATGCAGACTCAGTCCAATAGGCCGAGGACTCGAGCCTACCCACTCTCTCTGGACTCTCTACGTCACAGGAGAAAAGGAACATTCCGGTAAGCCAATGTTAATTCCCTTCCCCTGTTTATTAACAAAGAAAGTCAGGTTTCTTAGTTTTCTTTTCATACCTGTGAAATAACGTATGCAGTATTCTGTTAAGGCAGTTAATGCATAGTACCTATCTTCCACCCATACCTTCGTCCCTTCTCTGCTTCAGCTAAATAGGAATAGGAATGTAAACAGTTTCTTTGCATGTGATATAGTTAGTTTTTTTTCCTACAACCACCTTCATAGAGTTGAGCTAGGATGTTCATTATGCCAGCAGTCATTTTTCTCTTGGGCTGCCAGCTCCTGATTTCCTTTGCCCCAAGGCTGTCTCTACCTTGCAGCCAACTCTGATTTTCCCTGGACTGCAGTCAGGGCCTACCCAGGGATATTTCAAGAGTCTTGTCCCAGAATCATCTGGAAAGCACAGATCTTCAACACTTCAGAGTGCCTAGAATCCCCGGCCATCATTTCCCAGTCTTCAAATCTTTCTCACCGGCTTCTTTCTTTCTTTCTTGAGAGAAAAGGTTGCCCCCTTAGAAACAGTTTATTTTCTCCAAAGTTATTCATCATCTGCCTTGTGCTTCTTGGGTGACCCTGGGAAACTCGCAACAGTCAAAACAATTTGCCATCAAATCAAATCAAAGATAAAGATAAAAGATGGCAAGCGCAATGAAACTAAGCCCCCTTAGTTATTTTATATCCTACGTGTCCAAAGCTATATGGGGGCTCAGAACTTTTTATCAGTCACCTGTTGCTTAACTAAATTTCAGATAGCTGGATGAGGAAATCAATTTCCATAGCTGCCTAACTCAACCAAGTGACTCTGTTTATGGGCTGTTTGTAAGCACAAACATTAGCGCGCACACATAGGAAAAAACGTTTTGTCTGAATCTGAAGAGGAAAGGGTTAAGAGGGCAAAGGAGAGTCAGGTCCTTAACTGAGTTCTTCACAATATAGAATCATAGGGTTATAAGGGACCTTGGAGGTTATCTAGTTCAACCCCTTGCTCAAGGCAGGAGCCTTATAGCATCCAAGTCAAATGGGTGTCCTATCTTCTCTTGAAAAATGATGAAACATCCACAACACCGAGCGGCAAGCTGTTCTCACTGTCAGGAAGTTTCTTGTTAGATCCAGGTTGGATCTCTCTTAAGGAGCTTCCACCCATTGCTTTTTAACAGGTGTTTTGGGAAAAAAGTTGACCCTCCCCCAACTTCTCCATGACAGCCCTTTAAGTATTGGAAGACAGCTATCATATCACCCCAAGCCTTCTGTTTGTTAGGCTAAACATACCTATTTCCCTTAACTGTTCATCAATTTAGCCTCTATGCCCCTTATCATCATTGTTGCTCTTCTCTGCATATTTTCTAGGGTCTCAGCATCTTTTTTTGTATCATGGTGACCAGAATTGGACACAGAATTGTACATTCCTGCCTACAAGAGCTCACAGATCAGTTACATATTCTATTCTTTTCTGTTTTATTTTATCTCATCTTTATCTTCATTTTCTTTACTCAGTAAGTCTATTATCTATAGGATGTACCGAACCTTTAAGACTGTAGATTGAGTTTTGGAACAAAATGATAGTGAAAGCAAAATCAGCCACCAAGAGATCGGCCTACATAAGAACAACGGGACAAGGGTGACATCTCTGGCACTGAATACTTGTGGTCTGCTTTTATCCTTGTGTAGGGTTGTCGAGGTTGCTGCTTGCCATTCTACTCACACATCTGCTGCCAAAGCACAGAGTGGCTTAGTGTACATGTGGGGTCAGTGTCGGGGGCAGTCGGTGGTCCTGCCCCATGTTACCCACTTTTCCTGCATAGATGATGTGTTTGCTTGCTTTTCCACTCCTGCTGTGATGTGGCGTCTCCTGTCAGTAGGTGAGAACTAGTTTCATTCTATGTCTGATGCAGAAGTGAAAATTTCTCATACTCGTGGATGGTTGTGTAGGAGAGGCCTGTAATGGACTGTGACAATAACCTTGAGAGTAAAGAAGAAGAGCTGCAGTCTAGACAGAAGGGTTTTTGGGTGGGATGGGATAATAAACAAAATCTGAGCTTCAACCATGAATGGAGTTTGAGAAAGCATCTTAGAATTGACCCTCCCTTCTTCTCCAGTATATAAAGGCTGGGAAGAAGGGAAGTGCTTTCAGATTTGCAAAAGGCTGTGATCTTACAATAAAAGTAATATTAGTACTCATGGTTTTGGCTTTCAATAGCACCTTTTCCCCACAATGCTCAACTCCCAAAGCCATCTGTCCAAGTTCTTGGACAGATGTGGGAGATGCCTATAAGCCATTGTGAGTTATAATTTTATAATTTATAATTTACATATAATTTTTTATGTTTTGAGGTTTTATACATTCATGGTCAGGAAATAATGTTCACAGAATACGGTTTGTGGAGCTGGAATACAGTGAGCATAACTCACATAACATAAAATTAAAGTGATGGCTTTTATAAGAAATGGGAACGGAAGCATTGTGAAAGCGTCAAGGAAGCTTTTCGCGTGGTGCTGCTGTTTGTTCCTGTACAGGCAGTTTGGAAGACTAGAAAGTATGACAAATCGGATTTATTTACCTAAATACCAAAATACTGATAGCTAAAAAAAAACATGAATCGTGGCATCTGATGAGAACCATAGTACCCCAAATATTGGTTGTGTTAGAATTTAAGGTGCCATACTATTCTGTTTTAATAACTCCTTTCTAGAATCAGACTTGTTTCATATTTCAGATCTGCCCAGTTACATGGGACACAATTTTTTGATAAGAATGATGTATTTCCTTGTCATGTAGAAATCTTAATGAAGTAGCGTATTGATAAAAATCTGTACTCCATACAATTTTGGATCATTGATCACCTTTGCCTTTATGGGATACAGTCAAGGTGAAATTCAAAACTTTTCCCTACGGGCTCTGTGGGTGTGGCTTGGTGAGCGTGACTTGGTGGGACTCAGTCTCTAAAAGGAAGATGGTGGGCGGGAGAGGGCGGGTCCAACTGATTCAAATTGTCCCTACCACCTCCCCCGAGGTGGTGCTGAATTTCACCCCTGATACAGTACAGGAATGCTTTTGTAAAGCTAACAAAAACTTTTGTGTGTAAAACTGTTGAATTCTGGCATGAATTGACTCTATGTTCTTTTGGTATTATAATTGTTTTTACAGAGCATGAGGAATTTTTAACAGTGACGGAGTCTCTGAAGAGAGAATTTGATAGTCCTGAAACATCAGATCTAAAGTTTAGAGTAGATGGAAAATTCATTTATGTACATAAAGCTGTTTTAAAAATCAGGTAATATTTATAACTAATCATCCAGATGGTTAGCAAATGCCTAAATCATCTTACCAATTTAGCTACTGTATTTTATTTTGCTTCTTTAATGAACTTGCTATTTTACATCTTTTTTAATTGCCTAATATATTATAGATGTTGAAATAAAATAAGATTAAGAATAGGTTAATACTTCAATAGATACTTTAAATTTGATTAAAATTAAAAGCACTGGGTAATCTTTCATTTTTAGGCTACAGTTTTTGTGGAATACTAAATTAAAAAATATAGCTTTAATTACTCAGGTGAAAATAGCTATTAGGAAGAATCAGGATCTTAACTGTTTGTTGTGAATATGTCTGAACTAGTATTTTCAAAAGATATGTGCGTTTTTAGTACTGAATAACTGATCCAAATTAATATTCATAAAAATCAAATTTTAGGCTGATTGAAAAGTCAGTATGTAGAAAAAAAGGTTAAAGGTAGACCAAGCTAAATCTAAAAACTCTTAAGAAATTTCTGGAAGCTTGGCATTCGGACAAATCAGCCGTCAATAGACAAAAATAAATCATATTTATACACCATTCAAAAGAGACAATAATAAGCTAAGAAGGAAACAAACAGTCAAAAACATGTCCTCTCCAGCAGCTGACACTGGGATTATCATCAGACAAACAAACACAAAACAATATCCTAATCGGGGAACTACTAGGGAGAAAACCACAGCCCTACCAAAAACTGACAGGGCAAACTACTGTATATAAACAAAGAGCAAATCCCTCTTTCACTTGCACTGATGATGTTAACTAGTTGGGTAATGAAATGACTGCAAGCAAACAACCAAACTCATAGAACACCAAAGGCTCCACAGAAAAAAGACATTTTTGAAGCTTAAGCTACCGTATTAATTTTAATATATAAGATGCCGACACTTCTTTTGTGGTGTACAGGTGGTCCTCAACTTACAATCACAGTTGGGACGGAACTTCTGTTGTTCAGCAATATTGTTAAGTCACGTCCAGTTTTGTGACTTTTTGCAGTGGTTGTTAAACAGTCATGAAGTGAATCACTGTTAAGTGAATCTGGATTTCCCCATTGACTTTGCTTGTTGGAGGTCCTGAGGAAGCTCGTAAATGGTGATCCAAATGACTCTGAGATGCTCATAAATTACATGCCAGTTGCCAAATGCCTGAATTTGACCATGGGGATACTACATCAGTCATATGTATGAGGATACCTTTTTTGTGAGATGCTTTTTTCAGCACTACCTGAACAAGGCTGTTAAATGGTCATGTCAAAGACTACCTATATCATAAAAAAGATCATCTTTCCATAACTTGATATTTTCTGGAAATGTTGGAACGACCACTTGGCATGACTGAAAGTTAGGGATCCTGGCTACACTGGAGGGACTAGCAGGTTGGATTTTGGACTAATAGAAAAATCCTAGGATTGTTCACAGTGGCAAAAATGTTGCTGGGGAATGAGAGCGGACCATTTTGAAGGAATTATGTGCGGCTTATATTTCTTCTGTAATGTGCAAAATTTGAGGAGCTCTACAATGTTTTTTTCTTGCAGATGTGAGCACTTCCGTACTATGTTCCAGTCCTATTGGAATGAAGACGACAAGGAAGTGATAGACGTAGATCAGTTTTCCTATCCAGTGTATCGTGCTTTTCTTGAGTACCTGTACACCGACAATATTGACTTGCCACCCGAAGATGCTATAGGTAGCAGTGGAATATTTGGCAAAATTATGTTGGGAAATTAAGGAAATGGGATAATTTTTTGTTTTCATTTTTCCATGGGAGAAGGAGATGATGTCATCTTACTAGATGTTAGCCTGTACTGTCCATCTTGCCTTTTCAGATTGCAGTTCTGTTCTGTCTTGAACTGATGGGGAAAGAATGTTCAAGCAAGCCAATCTAGGTTCTGGAATATGCTAGGTTAAAAGTGGCATCTCTGTAAGGTACCTGCCTCAGCTACCTTCTCGAGAAAGTAAAACTCTTGAAACAGTTATCATTACTCCAAGGCTGGATGGTGCAAAGAGGTCTTCCTTGGGGCATCACAGCCTTGAATATATGGCTGGAACCTGCAGAGAGGGAGTCAGTGGCCCTGTCTCCCCGCCCCCAGATCCCCCAAGCAATTACAGCAAAAGTGAAAGCATGCAAACCATTCCATCCATGGTGTCTCACCTCCACCCTTTCCAGAATGGCAGCGTTCCCATAGGGACCTGACAACCTCTTTAAATGGCGAATGTACATATATGACACCAAAGCGCCGTTAGTTTGCTGAATTTGTGTCTGTACCTTGCTGATTAGATGTTAGGTTCCGTTGCACCCCAGGACCTACAGCAAGACTGGTATCTTCTACGGATTCAGGCCTTCCATTGGGAATTAAACTCATAGGCCTTTTGCACATTAGCTGACTGTATACAGTGTATTTGTTATAGGAGATGTCCACATCCTGGCATGCAGCAGTTACAGGAAGGGATCAAGGGATCAGTCAGGCATCTCCAGTCTACCTTCCCTTAAGCTGCCGGAGCCAAATGACAAGGGACAATGGACTGAATATGCCTTTCTCTGTTTAACAGCCTTTTCTGGTGAACTCTGCCTCCTAAGATGTGTAAAGATTTTACATTTTCAGTACAACTTTTTATCTTTTATGACCAATGTGCAGGAGATTCTGTATCATTTAATGTAATTAAAATCTTAATTTCAGGGCTTCTGGACTTGGCTACATCGTACTGCGAAAACCGATTGAAAAAATTATGTCAACATCTCATCAAAAGAGGAATCACAGTGGAGAATGCTTTCTCGCTGCTCTCTGCAGCGGTGCGCTATGATGCAGAGGTAAATCAGCTGTCCCCTGAAATCTGCCCTCTCCAGTGCCCCTTGGGGAATTGCTAGGGAAACAGTGAAGCAGCTGGGCACAAACATGACTTTAAGAGGGGAGGTGGAAGTCAGAAGACGGTGTGTGTGTGTTCACATATACACTGGATGAATAGTGGTGGCAAATTGGAGTACTGTCTTGGGAGTGTTTGAGTGATATGTCTTGGGGGTGACATATATGAAGACATATTTGGAGAGTCATCTTGGGTGATAGAAATGAGCAACAAAATGTCTTAGAATGACAAAGATGGGTTTGTTGGCAATTTATATCTTCATCGGTTTGCATTCTGTAAATTTCCAGATGTATGAAGTCAGACACATGATTTAGCATTTGAGACTCATAGTCAATTTAGTGTTAGCTGAATTATTAGTGCTTTCTGACCAGTTGGACCTTATCTCAGCTGCAGTAACATTATTCAGGACTAAGGGATTGAGCCTTGGGTTCTGTATAACGCAGTCCTGTATTTACAACAATAACATAAGAGCCTGAAATGTAATTCAGTGCAGCTCCTTGGAATCATGTTGGACATCTCAAAACTCTTTTGAAGGGCTCACTCCACAACACCCTGGAGATGTGTGTGTCTCTCATTGCCAAAGTACAGGCTTTTTTTCCTTTGTGTTACACATAGTAAAATACCATTAGAGGCCATCACAGTTCTCTTCATGCATTTTAGTGGTGAAAATGAAGAGAAGAGCTAGAACAGACACATCTGCCCGAAGAATTCGTTCCAGAGTTATGGCAAATTGCTCCAAGTGTGTTATGAGAGAACATGTGAAGTTTTAGGGATGATTTACCTGTTAAAAGGGTGGGTTTTTTTTTTTTGCTGCATTAAGAATATGAAACAATTTGTCCCATCATAATACTTTTATTCTGTTTTAATACCAAATACATGGTTCTTGGTAAGTCTTTGTTCAATCCAGATATTCCACCTTGAAGTAGTTTATAATTCAAAGTTATCTAATATAACCTGGAAATAAAATATTTAAAAGTGGTATCTTAATGGTACTATACCTATTCAAATTGCATTTTTACATACATGGAAAAAGATTTTAAGACAGGTAAAATGAAAATATTTCCTTTTTCTATTGTGGTTAAAACAAGTGGCAGAATGACCTAGATGAAAATAACAAATGTTGTGTATGCTGTTAATACTTTATTCAATAAAATTTATTTTTTAAAAATACTTTCTTCAGCATTAGTATTATTGAATGTTTCAATTTAAAACTTGTTTTGAATGAATTTAAATTTTTTTTGTTTTCTATTTAGGATTTAGAAGAATTCTGCTTTAAGTTTTGTATCAATCATTTGACTGAAGTCACCCAGACAACTGCCTTCTGGCAAATAGATGGTTCTTTGCTAAAGGAATTCATTGCTAAAGCCAGTAAATATGGAGCCTTTAAGAACTGAGAGGTGTGTTTGTTTTGGACTGTTATCTCCACAGCTTTCATGCCTTTTTCTCATAAGTCCAATTAATTATATCGCCTACAATATAAAACCTAATGCCCAACAGCTGTACTCTTAAAGAGATTCCAAATTAAATAGAAAGCATTTTACTTGGGTTTTGTTACTCCAAAGAATTGGATCTATTTACTGTTTTAAGTAACTCTTGAGAAAATCAGAACAGATGGAGTGGGTAGAAGTAGCTAAAATAATGTCAGAGATTGTTCTTTGCAGATGGTTTGTTAATTTTTTGTAATCACATTGTGGTACCTCATTCTTTGGAAGCACTCTGATGGCAACTGGAAGCAAACTATTTTACATGGATAAGGGGAGTTTTGAGAAAGGAATCAATATATATGAAGGAAACTTACACTCTAGTCATTTGAAAAATTGTGAAAAATGTTGCATTCCTCTATACATCTTTCTAGGAATAAGGCTCACTGAATTCAGTGGGATGTAATAAATTTGCACTGTAAGTACATTGAGTTATATAATAACTTGAAATGTTCAAGAATCAACTTGTTTTTCCTAACCAAACTGGAATTTGTGTTTTTGTATTTCCTTTGAAGTTTATTATGTTTGAAAAAGAATTACATATTGTTCTGTTTTGTGGACATAAATCATTCAAAGTAAATGACTGTTAGAAAGCTGTTTTGCATTGTGATTATGTATAAACTATATAATAAAATAGATGCCTGCCTATTGTGAATTTTAAACTTTATTAAAATTATGCACTAAATCATCTTTATGTGAGGATTGGTATTCTGGATGGATTCCTTTTTTCACCCCAAAAGTCGGAACGAAGTTAGGAAGTTAATTATTTGTGCAGCATTTCCAAAATGTGATTGAGAAAAGCTATTAAGTCTTTTGGAGTATTTGCTATAGAAAAGTTTGATCTTTCAATTATGCTTCTTCCTCCTTGGAGTGACTGATGCTTGACTCTGACTTGGTGCTGCTCATTTATTGGTGGTTTACTGAAATCAGTTCTTGGATGACTAAGGTTTTCCCCCATAGTCCTCTTATCTTGCCAGAATCAGGTGAGCTGAAAAGACCCATGCGTAAAAGGGGACTGGAGGCTAAAACTTACAATGAATGTTTGCAGGAACTGGGCATGGCTAGTCTAGTGAAGACAAGGACCAGGGTAGACATGATAGCAGTGTTCCAATATTTTGAGGGGCTGCCACAGGAAGGAAGAGGTCAAGCTATTTTCTAAAGCACCTGAAGGCCAGACAAGGAGTAATGGATGGAAACTGAACAAGGAGAAATTTAACCTAGAAATAAGGAGAACTTTCCTGATAGAACAATCAACCAATGGAACAGCTTGCCTTCGGAAGTTGGGAGCTTCATCACCGGAGGCTTTCAAGAAGAGACTGGACTGCCATTCTGTCAGAATGTGTCAAACTCACAGTGTCACGTCATGTTGTGATGTTTTTCCCTTCATGGATCTAGGGTGGGTGTGGCCTGCACACAACGTATCTCGCCTGGAGGTGCCAGTTTGACACCCCTCATATAGAGTCTCCTGCTTGAGTGGGGTGTGTGTGGACTAGATGATCTACAAGGTCCCTTCCAACTGTTAATCTGAAATACCTAATATGGTGTCACTCAGCCTCTTAATCTTGTTTACATGAGATTTAATGCTTCCTTGTTTGTAGGAGAAAGTATGTATTTCTTGTACTACTTCTGTAGGACAATAGTTCTTCACGGAACTTACCCTGATTTGTCCATGTTAAAACTACAGTATGCAGAACTGGCTCATATGTAAGGACCTGCCTCTCAACTTCTAACTCAAGAAAGTAAAAACTCTTGAAACTAAGAATTTAAAAAGGAACCTTTTATTGCGCAGAAGTGAAAACAGGTCAAAAAGCAAATCAGACTCTAAAACCCCCTAGGCATTACAGTTAGACTTAAGGCATTACAAAACCCTCCCTCCAGTCCAATGTGGATTCAGCCAATCCACAGCTGTGAAGATGTTATTGTAACTGCTGTCCTGCGAACCAGATAAGCAGGCAATCCAAGGATCATCTTCCTCCGGTTTTCAGAGTGAAACAACCCACATGGCCCTTCCCCCCAATACATTCCCCAAAAGGTGAGAAAATCTCAGGGCCCTCAGGTGCCAGGATAAAGGTTATAAAATAGCACTTGTCAGAATCCATATGAAAGAATCACATTCAGGGTCTCAATTGAATGGCAGTATCGCTTTAGGGATCTTCAGAAGTTGAATTAAAGTCAAATGGCTACCACTTTCTCTATTGAAGCAGTTCAATAGTTTATTTTTTAAACCACTGCACTGCTGTCTTACAATTATTTAATAAAACTTGAGAAAAGATGGATGATGGAGGGATGGGCTACGTACTCACAGGCTTTGAGTCACCTGTTGCTCAGTCCACTGAAATCGGCCACTCTGGATGGTTATGCCACCTAAGTGTGTCAGTGAACTGGATGCTGAACCATAGCAAAGTTGCTATCTGGAGAAATTCTCAAAAGCGATATTCTCCTCAGTCACTGATAAAAATACCAAAAAAGTAAAGGTTGAGAAAGCAAGTCTGCTCAGAGCTAGACAAAAGCATAATGGGAAGGGAAGGAGGTATGTTACCTCCTACTTTAGACCTTGTTGCAAATTTATTTCTAAAGTGTTTTGGCTCATAATGCATGTTTATTTTCAAAATGATCCAATCTTAAAATTCTGCAAAGGGTATGTAAGTGCATGAGTACAAATGTATAAATTTAAATAGCTATACATTATTAGAAAATATTTTCACTAAACTACTGCTTGCAATTAAGCAATTAAAAAATTCAGAATGTTCTTTAAGACTCTAAAGTTTTTGTGTGGTAGATTTGCTGATTTACTTGATGTGAAACAATTGAAATTTATATAAATTGGCCTCATTAGCACAGTTAACCACTATCTAAATATGGGTATATCTTTATAAGTATAAACTTGAAGCGGGAAGGGCAGTTTCTTTGGGAAATTGAGTGTATATGATAAGAGATACTGAGTCTGAATTGCAAAAACCTTGAATGACCATTAAGTGGCAGGAAAGTATCAGGCATTTGTCTTTCTTTTTACCTTCTAGTGATCATCTTAACCTGTATCTGATAGCTCTGTAAGATAACCGTAAACCAAAACCAGAGTGATTTACAGTAGCATGTTAATAATTTCATCTGCAGATAAAGTGCATATCATGAATTCATTCATTTTCTTCCATCAATTTTCATCTACGGTAATAGAAGGCATTTGAAGCTATACTCTTGGAAGTATACACTCTAATTTAAAACTAATGGTAGATTATTGGCTAGATCAAAAAGGTCTCAACTGTAAAATTGGGAAAACAACAGTTACCCACGTATAAAATGTGTTATACCAAAGTGACCAGGGGAGTGGGGGGGAAACAGTGAACATTTTAAAGATGGTGGGTTATTCAAAGATACCGCTTGAGGTATTATCTGTGTCTTCTGAGACAGGAAATACTGTTTCTTTTAAATCTCTAAAAAGTTCAATCTGAGCATCCAGTTTTTCCCGTGTATTCATTAGTTCCTGAATTTTTCCCTCTGTTCCTGTATAAATTAAAATCAGTACTTAAGATTAGCAACATATGCAGAGATATATTAAAAAGTATTATTTATGCCAGGCAAATTACTATTAAAGTATATAGACTTAGAAGAGCAATGCCAGGAGGGGAAGAAGGTTGGGGAAACATAAGGGCCACAGTCCTTCAGGGAGAATGTGAAACATTGCATCTTAGGTGATGGGGACCATCCATTACTTTTGCCAGCCCTTCTCATCTATAATTGCCTCTCCCCTCCTCTCGTTCTTTTCTCTCCCTTTTCCATCTGCCCCCAAAAAACAAAAAAACCCACAAACTTGTTTGTGAAAAATTGTCAAAGTATTACTGGTATGTAAATTTCAAAGAATAGCAACCAGAGAAGCTGCATACCAAGAGCTTTCTCCCTATTCAAGAATGGCAGAGCCAGGAACAGCAGCAATCAAAAGTATTGTTCCACAAAGTCACACACGTCAATTTAAGAGTGCAACTGAAGTAAACGAGGTAGAATTAGCACAAAGCACCAATATTGATTTGCAATAAAACAGTCGGCATCCTTTGTAAGGCAGACAAAGCAATATCATTAAACTTTGTTTTACTAGATCATTTGGATCAGGGGTCCCCAAACGTGGCAACTTTAAGACTTGTGGACTTCAACTCCCAGAATTCTCCAGCCAGCTATGTCCACAAGTCTTAAAGTTTTCAAGTTTGGAGACCTCTGATTTAGATGGATAAGGTATCCATTAACTCCAAACGTCTATACAAATTATGTCAGTGTGCCAATTTGCATCATTTGTATTTCCATTATACAAATGACTAAATGATGCAATTTGCATTATTTGCATCATTTATATAATATCATCATAAAAATGCTCCACTGAAGCCATACAGTTAAAATAATGCTTCGTTATTTTGTGGAGAGGAAAAATTGATTTGTACAATAGCATCTGAAGCCTGCTAAATGGAGGTTTCACTGTGTTGCCTGGATGTATTATTTGCTGAGTTTTTTCCTAGATCAAATGACTGACATGATCAAAGAAACACAGTACTAAAAATAATACTGCATTCTTATCTGTACTTATTCGTATTCTTAACTAGTTTAAAAGGAATAGCTTTGGTTCTACAAACTATAAGAATTGTTACATTTTGTTTAATACATACCTGAATGAGCTCTTCTAAGAATATTTTCAAAGAGATCACAATCAAAAAGTGATACGACTATTTTTTCATACTCTAAGGATAGAAAGAACATGCTGATACTTCTTCGAAAACACAAACTTCTTTTAAAATATGCATAATGATAATGATCAGACGTATTTTTTTAAATCACCTTTTCATCAATAACCAAGTTGCATCTAAATTCAAAACATTAACTGTAGAGCAAGAGATTTCTAAAGATGTTTATATATATTTATTGAGAATTTACATTGTAAGCAATTGCGGAAAGTAGACTAGACAATTCATTAAATTCACTAAAGAAAAACATTTTTCTTTACGGCAACTCAAATAAGAAAAACAATTTTAATGAAACATGCAACATTAAACATGTTAAAAACGGCAACAAGAAAGAATCAAATCCAGGCCAATAATCCTTAAATTGGAATAATGTTTTTAAGGCAGGGGTAGATTCTAACATAAAATGGTAACATTTAGAGAGCAGAAACAAAGCACTGCAATATATTTTCTAAATGAAAATCTCTTAAAGAGGCATATAGGACCTTCCACAAAATTTGTGACAATACTCTTCAGAACATAAAGGAAAGTAGGGTAGAACAAACTCATAGGAGAACAAGTACTTAGGCAATTTGCTGACATCTTAATGTATGTTTGGGACCAGATAGCTTGAGGAATGATCTACTTATAAACTTATTCACACTTCCATCAGCTATACAGACATGGCATCAGCCAATAGAATATTTTCTATTGGCTAATGTCAAGTTGAGAATAGCTTGTTCTCCTATATTTTCCTTTATTTTCTGAATAATATTATCACAATTGCCAGGCAAGGGTCTTCCACAAAATTGGTGACAGCAAACGAAGAAGGAAAAGAAGGTACACGAGAATAAACTAATCTCAATTTGGCATTAGCTAATACTTAGTTGAAGAACTGGAAATAGCATGACTATTGAACGAAATTGAGGTCATGGTCTTTGATTTGAGGATATAATACATTTTCACTTCAAAAAAATGAAATTTAAGTTTACAGTAGGAGAAGATGAGAAATAAGATTAGTGGAAAACACTGAAATAATTCTGATGACATGGCAGTGGAAAAAGCCAATAGGGCTATAGAAAACCCTTAATAGAAAGCCTGAAAACAAAAATTACGTAGGAAACAAAAGGAGGGACTGATGACCAAGAAATACAACCAGGTAGATAGCTAGCTTTGCATATAGAAAAATCAAGCTGAAGTGTAGGAAGCCTAGAACAACAGGAAGGACACTAAATGAATTGCTATATAAATTGTTCAAAGAAGATGCAAAATGATAAAGGGTTTACTAAGAAGAGATAGAACCACAGGTCCTCACTTAACAGCCATAACAGGGACCAGTAGTGTTACTAAGTCAAGTGGTTGTTAAGTGAAACATCTTTGTGACCATTGTTTAGTGTGATAGTTCCAGACCAATGAAAAATAAAACAGAACTATTTACTCCTGTGATTTACAAAATATAATTATTTTGAGCAAATTAACATTCCATTTGCGTTTTTAAGCTATGCCACTCCACTGATTTATATTTAGTTTGCAGTCAACCACTGTTTTAAGATCTTTCTCACATGCATGATTAGCAGTTAAACTGCAAGAATTATTTAGACCAAACTGGGATGCATTCAGGGGAGAAAGATGATAGAGGAGTGGAAACTCCAAAAGAACCAGGAGCATTTAGCTCTGAGAAGTGAAGACCATGAGGTGACACAACAGTACTCTTGGGATCAAACCTCTCGGATAGGAGATCTCAGACAATTGAGAATTCCACATTCTTTACAGTACCTGCTTCTGGAGTATTGTCCTCCATCAGCTTTTCCTGTGCCAGGTGAAGAGTATTTAACATTTCCTCAAAGATTTCATTCAGAAGCCCAGCCTGCTTACACTTCTTTAAAAATTCTATTCTTTCTGTGGAGAGAGAAATACAATGATGTGCACTTTATATTTTTAATTTCATGTTCATCTGGCACAATGGAGCACTGTCCAATGACAATTATTTTCAAGGCATAAAGGCAGAAGATATTATGAGTAAAAGGTGATGGACAAGCATCAGGAATGGTCTTCTCAGGGAGATCAACGGGTTGGTTTCTCATTGAAACAGCCAAAAGACAACGCCTGATCTTCTTATTCTATTTCATTATTTTGTTTTATTTTATTTTTCTCATTCAATGAATGAATGTATAAATGAAACAAAAAAGGATTCTGGGTGACTAACAGAAAATTAAAAAGATAAAAGATTATTAAATAGGCAACCAATATAGATGCTGAGATTTAAAAAAATCAAGCAACACCAAGGTACAAGCTCAACTGTACAACCCAGTCTCCAAGCTAGCCAACCAACCCAGGTTTTTAAAATCTTGCAGAAAGCAAGAAAGGTTGGGGCAGGTACAAACCTCTGGGGAATGACATCATAACATCCTCCGAGAAAACCCAGATCACTGTCCCTTGTAGACAGACGTGAAGCATGCCTTTTAAGATTTTAGAGGTTTAGGATTTTATTACAAGGAGGCAATGTGGTCTGATCTACTGTAAGCATAGTAAAAAATTGTCTGCTACAATGTTTTGCCTGTCAACGACTTCTTCAGCTTCAACTACAATAATACATGGCAAACAATTGATGCAAACTCAAGGTAAACCACTTCAAACTCGATTGCAGAAAATACGACTTCAGCAACAGAGGATCAACGCCTGGAATGCTCTACCCAACTCCGTTATTACAGCCTCAAACCCTCACAGCTTCAATTTCAAATTGCCTACTGTGGACCTCACCCTATTCTTAAGAGGTCCTTAAAGGAGGCGTGCGTAAGTATAACAGCATGCCTACCGTCCCTGTCTTACTGTCCCCATTTATCTGTATTTACTTCCTTTGTTCAAGTTTATGTTCATACCTATACTTGTTATCTTGTACATGTTTGACAAACAAATAAAGTAAAGTTAATAAATAAATAAGTTAGGAATAGAAGATAATTAAGTTGAAACTATTAACTGAATCCAGCAAAATCTTCCCAAATGCAAATTCCCCTTCCATTAACAGGTGGCTTTTGAGCTATTAACCAATAGGCCATAAAAGCTGGACCAGCCCAGTGTGTTTAGACAGGCTTCTTCAAGAGAAACAAAACAAAACATTTCCACTTCATCTTGTTTGAGCCAAATAGTTCAACTCTTTCATGTTTCAGATTTCTACGCAGGAATAAAGAACATCATCTTTATAATTCTCCATTAATGGAGAATTGAAGAATTGCCTCTAAGAAAGGAGATGCGATTTATAACTATATTTGTAATTGGAAAGTGAGAAAATTGCATAAACTGCCTTAGGACAGAAATAAATAACAACCATCACCCCTATATTAGGAATTATAACAATTGACAAATATAACCCATGTTTTACCTTTGTGTTGGTCACGTTTTTCACTGAGGACTTCCATGTTCTCTTCCTCACCTGTCTCATCAGTCTGCCAATATTTTATTTGAAATAGCACTGTTATAAATGGCCCAGATTAGTGATATAACTCATATCACTGTATATTCATTTTTAATAAAGTCAGTCTTAAACTAAATTCTTCCCAAATGGTCTAAAATTATATTTACATATCTCATTTATTAGTAAAATAATTACAATAAATCTTGTTTATAGAGGACTTTTACAAGTTTTTTAAAGTTTTGTTCCTAAATTGTTTTGATGATTTGATGACTTTTATACTAAAGAAATGCTCACATAGCAAAACAGAAAGTTCTAAAACCTATAACACAGGATGGCAGTACCAGCATACAGATTACCAAGAATAAAAGAAAAAGTCACTGTAGTAGCAATATACTTCCAAGTAAAAAAAAAAGAGATATAAACTATTAAATTTTCAGAATCTGACAGCTCAGATTATCGGCTTCTCTTAGATTGAGAGTAAAGGTGGAAATGCATCATTCACTCGTGTTCTTAGATTAATTGGAAAAGACATTCCTCTCTCAAAAATTCAGAAACAAAAAATAATTCATCAGACAAACAGCATTTAGTGGGTGGGTATCTAGTAGTAGGCTTAACAGCTCTACATTCAACAAGGATATCAGTGTCTAGCGATGTTACATCAGTGGCAGTTATCAGTCAGAAAATGACACAGGTCAAAATAAAAACAAAATAAAATTGAGATGCTTTAAGAATCTGAAATTCTGCCTCTACCAGGTGAGGCCATGTGAGCCTGAGTCACAACGGAAGGTGGTGAAGAAGTGTGGCCTCCTAAAAGTTTTAGAAATGTCTCACTGAGACACTGAAGAGGCAACTTCATTACCATATCGGTGGTAGTGGAGGAAGATTCCATTACGAGCACGGGCATTGCCTTCTCATTGTTTTCATCTAGAAAATAAAATAACGAAATATTTTATCACACAATTTCCTACAATACTTCAAGACAAAAAACAGAAAGAAATCCCAGCAGATTCATGAGATCTCGGGAATTTAACTGATGTAAGCACATTGGAATTATGTTTGTTAAGGTTGTCATCCTATGACTCCCTTGACAATCATCTTCCCAAAAATGACTGCTCGAGGCATGGAAAAAGAGACTAAATCAAGAAGCAAGGAGAGTACCTGCCAGTTATAATATCTAAGAATCCAGGCAAAAGGCAGTCTTCTGTGTGTGTAAACAGAATGAAAATCTAAAATATTGGGATAAAAATAAATGTAAATGGGCCCGGTTGATGTTACTGAAAGTCACAAGCAGTAACCGCTGTCAATAATGGTTTCAGTCAGGACTATAATTAGCTATCCAGGCCCTGCTCTACAGAATTAGGAAGATGGTCTCCAGAGCTTCTTACATTATATGTTAACAATAAATAATATATGGAGTCAATTAAAGCAGATTGGGGAATAAGACTATTAGTAGTAGTAGTATTAATTATTCCAGAGTCAGACTGTTAGATAACCATATGAGAATAATACTCTTTATATATTTTCCTGCCATTTTATTCTTTGTTTTTATCTTAATTCAACTTCATTGTTTTAATGGTTTTAGATACTTGATTATAACTATGTATATTGCCCAGACTCACTGTGTAAGATTGGCAGCTGTACAAATGTGATTGAACAAATAAAGAAATTAAGCTCATATTCAAACCACCACCACCTTAGTGCCCTGGTCTTTTTTGTGGAAGAGTGGCAAGAAGTGTTGCAACAATGCTATATTTTTTCTAAAATATACTTCAGAACCCTTGCTAAGACAGAAACAGATTTGAACAAATTCGCTAAATACATACCGCAAGAACTGGATTTCTGGTTGTGTATTTGGCAGAACAAACTAATAGAGAAACAGAAAAATAAATAAACTCATAGAAGCAAATATTTTCATTTTTATAAAGATTTAGCAAAGACAAATGAGTAATCAAGATTTTTTTGGTAAATAAATAAATAAATAAGCAGACAATCAGCATTCACGCCAGAAGAATAACACGTTCCTATCCTATCAGTTGAGGATGCCTACAGTATATCCTTTCTACAATGCTACTAGGCTCAAGGAAGAACTTTCAAGACCTTGTGCTCATTGCAGAGAGGAAAAACGGATGGTCAGTTAGGCCAAAACAAAAGCAGTAGCTTTTTTGTATTGTAATTACTGCTGTAAGATAAACGGTAAAGATATAAAGAGTAAGCGAAGCCCTTTAAAAACTTGGAATCATATCTCCATCGTTTTTATTTATTTATTTATTGAATTTATATTGCCACCTAATTCACCCATGGTGACTTGAGGCAGCTTACAGAATGTAAAACCATATTAAAATAAAAATAAAAACTAACAAGAATCAAATAAATTAATAAAGTACAATAGAACAAAATCTGGAAAAAAAATAATAATTCACCAACCCCAACCACATCAGATCACACAAACTATTTGATAGGCTCTACCCCACTCTGGGTTCCCCAGGCCCGCTGGCAGAACCAGGTCTTCAATGCCTTCTGGAAGAGTATTAGAGAGGGGGCCATTCTAATCTCTGGGGGAATGATGTTCCAGAGGCCCTTCTTCTTGGTCCCGCCAGGTGTATCTCCCTCAGGGATGGGGCCCACAGCATTCCCTGCCTCACATCTATGGGTTGGGTAGATGTGACCGGCAAGAGACATTCCCTCAGATAACCTGGTCCCAAGCCATGAAGAGCTTTAAAGGTGACAACCAGCACCTTGAATTGCACCCGGAAGCAAAACGGCAACCAATGCAGCTCCCACAGGAGAGGTGAAACATGTGCACACCGGGGTCTGCACAAAACCATGTGGGTCACTTCATTTTGCACCAACTGGAGCTTCCAGGTGTTCTTCAAGGGCAGCCCCATGTAGAGGGTGTTGCAATAATCAAGATGGGAAGTGACTAGGCCATGAGTGCCTGTGAGTAGGGACCACTGGTCCAGGAAAGGGTGTAACTGCTGCATAACCCACAGTTGCACAAAGGACCTCCTGGCTACGACTGCCACCTGCTCTTTAAGCAGGAGTCATGAGTCCAGGAAAACCCTAGATTACACACAGGGTCTGTTTGGGGTACTGCCACCCCATCCAGAACCGAAGGTGGCAATTCTCCCTGAGCCAAATTTTTTTTACTGTGAAAGGAACAAATTAAAGCTATTAACATTACAAACATAGGACAATTTATTTTATTTCTAAATACATGATCTTTAGAAATAATATCATGTACATTTATAAGAGGAATTCTGGTTCCCCAGTGTGTCTCAAACTCCATTTGTGAATAAAATTGAAATTTATTTCTATTGAAATTTCAGATCAGTCCTTCTGATCCAGATAGAAAAATTTATCATCCTATGAAAAGACACAGAATTAGATCCTAAATATCCCATTTGGGACAGAGAATACTTTTCTGAAGTTAAATCAATGTATTTTTAGTGCTCATCTCCATTCCCCATTGCTATAATGAAGGTCTGACCAGAAGACTTTTTATTCTAGCTTTATTAATAATATATGTGTGCACTGTGCCAGAGGAAACCTCTCTTTAGCCAGATTTGATACCTTCCCACCAATGCTTATTGAGGCAAGATATAATAAATCTCCAGTTCAAGATTGCCCATTTGAAGAACCTGAGCCATGCGCATTTCACAGTACTCCCCATTTCACAGAGCTGATTTAATAATGCTTTTGATATCTAACCATCCTTGTAGGTCAGATGAAGAGAATGTACTTTTCTACTGGCTGATTTATTCCCTGGAAATCTGCAGATGGATGGTTAAATTCTGTTCTACTGATATTGCTGAATGTGGGCTTTGGAAATAGCTATGCTTTGCTGATTTACAGACTGGATTACTTAATGTAGTACATTGTTTGAGCAGTTTTGTATTTCTTTATCCTTCACCACTCGTATCTGTTTATTATGTTTTCATAATAGCCTATTCAATCCTTTGAATTGGGTCTTTTACTACAAATAAAATTTAGTTACCTCTCAGTTATTTTCAGTAGATAAATGCAATTCTACTTATCAAGTATTTCCTTTTTTCTATGAGTCACTGTGGGCCCTCCTCAAGTCTTTTGGAGTAGACATATGTGGTGGAAGCCCACCTGCATTCACTGTACTGGGCTTTAATAACCAATCCCAGCTTTTCTTACCAGGCTAGAAGTTCTCACACTCTGAATTCATTTTTCTGTATATATAAATGCTCACTTTGGCTGTTACAAAAAGCCAGCTTCATCCTAGCCTAAAGAATACATATTCAGAACTAAGGTAGAGTTCAAAATATTATAGATGACATCTTGATAGTTCAATAGTTTCTAGCTTTGCCTGCCAGAATCCTAGAAATCCCAAACTTAAGGGAAAATATGAACGATATAGCAATATTTTCCCCCTCAACTCCGATTATTGACTACTTATACTTCTATAGCATACAGAGCTAGTCCTTTCTGTATTTCTAAACATTGTAGATAATACAACTTATTGATTTTGCCATCATGTTGCTGAATTCAATAGCTGGAACAAATAGCTTTTGTAAAAATGGGAGATTATAGTGGGTCAGATTCTAATGTTAAAGAGAACATTTTTTTTACTGGTTTTCCAGGCTAAGATATTCTGAGACATTTGGATTCATGGGGAATAAACACCCATTAGATAAAGCCTTTTTTTGCCATTCAGATAATTTCAAAACATAAATATACTATATAGGATTTTCTTGAAAAGGTTTTAGAAAACATTTGATTATATACCGGTACAGGCCTTCCTTTTCATCTATTTCTACTGAAGCATCATCACACAAGGCACAAAAATAATGGTAACTTCTGCGACAGTGTTTGACCTCACAGCCAATGGTTGCCCCGCTCTTGTGACAGAAATAGCACATCTGTGTGGAAACAAATTGAAACCACTTTTTAAACTGCAGTTTATAAAACCAGGAAGTGGCATTAGACCAGAGGTGGTATTCAGCAGGTTCAAACCAGTTCTGGAGAACCGGTAGCAGAAATTTTGAGTAGTTCAGAGAACCGGCAACTACCACCTCTGACTGGAGATTTTACATATCCTTCCCCTGCCACGCCCACCAAGCCACGCCCACAGAACCGGTAGTAAAAAAGTTTGAATCCCACCACTGCATTAGACCCATTTACTTCTCCTTCACTCATCACATGCTGGCTTCTATGCTGTGATCGTGTTTAAACTAAACCATTTAGAATGGGCGGGATGTGTCATGTGTTTGCCACGCCCCTGCTCAGTTTAGCGAAGGAGGAAAAGTCCTGATAAGTCATGTGACAACACTGTGACGTGAGTTTGATACCTCTGATTTAGAGTAAAGTGTAATCTCTGTTTTGTAACAAGAATATGAAACCACATGGGAGTTGTATTTACTAATATCTTGACCTGAAATGGATTAAATAAGAAAAAGTATTTGCCTTGCCACTTTCAGACAGCGAATGGTTGTTATTGGACAGGGGCTGTTAAGCTTATTTTGTTTAATTGCTACTCATGATGACAGCCTATGTAACCAGGGTTCCATAAAGATTTGTGTTTTCTAGTTCAGTTAAATAACACTGCTCCTCTGCAGGGAGGTGTTAACTGATGAAACCATGTTATTCTTATTCATTTTTCTCTGTCAGTTTCCCCCTACACAAGCCAATTTACACTCCCAGTGTTTTAAAATGGGGGACAATACAGCAGTAGCATCAAAAGTCTTTTTATCAATGAGACAGGGGGACTACTAGACTATTGGTTCGTATTATAATCTTTAGGTCTCCAAAGTGGATATTCCAAATGCTTAATGTGAAAATAAATTATTTTAAGTAATTCTGATACAGAATTTTAAAACATGAAAAATGTCTTACCAGCTTCTTTCCTCTCTTTATTTCCTTCATTACTGAAACCACGTCAAATCTTTTATCAAGATCCTCTGTGTTCTGTTCTTCCCCTTCCACAAATCCTGAAGAAAACAACTAGAAATAAAATTTAAAAATAAGATTTAAAACAAGAGGACACGACAAAATAAAATGTTAAAAATAGCAGCAAGAATTGGCTGGGGAACAGTGCTACCTCATAAATTTACGAAGTTTTAGCAATTTCTTCTGTCAGTTTACTCATCCACAAAAATAACCATTATCACTCTGGGTGCTCCATGGTCTCATACTTAATATAGGGGAGGAATCCTAAGTGATGTTAAGAAAAATTTCAGCAAAATGGTAAAAAAAATGAATGAAAAAAGCATGTGCCAAAATGATAGGAAAAAAATATATATCAGTGTCCCTATGCCTGCCTGATTAGGAAGCATATAACTCTTAGCATTTAACCACTGGAGCTGCTCTTCCTATCCCATACACTTTCCCTAGTTTCCTTGAAAACACTCAACAGACTTTATGAAGAACAAATGTTAAAACCTTCTAAGACATTTAACATAAGGTCCTGTCAACCCAAACAGCCATTGCTGAGAGCTATAGATATGCAGCTTCACCTCTGATATAATGAAGTTACAAGTTTGCAGATAAAATAATATAGCCAGATTATGAAGAATAGCAGTTAGTTACTAGCATATAGGTAACAACCTTCATATCCTCAAATGGGAATTCAAGAACATTGAGAATACAGTTTGGGGATAGTACAAAACATTAATGAAAATCTTCTGGTTGGCAGAAGCAGCTTTTGTACAGAGTACAGTGTTGTCCCTCTGTCTCTTACTCATAGAGCTCCCACTCATTTCTACTGACTAATCCAGAGAAGAATATGTTCAGCAATTATTCTCTTGAGCAATATCTTGTTGAGAAGATGGAAAGCAGCATCTGTGGCTGCAGAGAACTTACTCAGAAGAACAATACTGGTAAGTATTAAGAAACTAACTGTTTTGAATTTTGAAAACATATTTTGGGTGTTCTCATAAACAGTTGCTGGGGGAACAGCATCCCCAATCACAGAACAGCTATTCTTCTATTCACCCTTCCATAGAACACCATTTTTCTTCCTTCCCTTTCACCTTTTTCCAGACAAGGAGGCATATTTCAGAGCAAAAGGTTTCATCTACTCATGTTATCTGTTTTCCAAGCAAGCCTATGGTCCATATTAATTTTTTTCCAATGTGAAAAGACGGAGGGAGAAAGGAATTTGGTGAGAAGTGAGGAAAGTCTTTTTAATCTTAAGGAATCCCAGACAGTGAGTCAGGGGGTTTGGAGAAAACGGGTATTGGAGAAGACACGGTTCAAGGAGGAGGTATTCCAAGAAAAACTGTTCAAACTCCTAAATTTTGATACCTAATTATAAGAAGTTTACCACTTTGCTTGAAAATCATTCAGAAGAAGTTTTGTGAAAATATCATCTCCAAATTCCCCATCTCTAAATCCAACTGCAGAATGGATTGAATATATTTTTTCTTTTCTGGTCCTATTCTCTCACTTCTACTTCTGCCAATGTGAGGACTGTGATTCCAGTCCTCCAGTCCTTCTATAGGAAGATGAGCGCCTTTTTGAATTTAAAAAAAAAAGGCAGAATATAAAATATAAGCATTATCCAAGCTTAGGATAAATACACAGTATTATAAAGCCTAGCTTGTTTCCATGTGATTCTTTTTTCTTCAGAGTATATTTAGAAAACCTTGATATATATACCTCTCAAACTTTTAGCCTGGATACCCAAAACTTTCAAAACCCCTTTCTGAGCCCCTCTTGATTCAGCTAGACTACAAAGCTGTCCATGGCATGTTCCCTTCCTCTCCCTGGGACTCTAGTCACAATTCACTTTTTTATCAGGAAGGAACAGGGAGCCATCACTTTTCCCAATGGAGAAGTAAAAAGAGAAGCAAAGCCAGCACACTAGAAGCTATAGATTCAGGGGAAGCAGGATGCCTTGAAAATCCTGCTCTCTGGGCCTTGATCCTCAAGGAGAAAAGTGAGGGGAAAAGGCTCCCTCCCTCTCATTGTCTATCAATAAAAGAATGCATATACACAAGGCAAGAAACTGGGAGTTCTTAGTCCTATTTTAGCCATGAAAGTCAGCTGGGTGATTTTGAGCCAGCCACTCTCTCTCAGCCCAACACACCTAACAGGGTTGTTGTGGTGGGGACAATAGGAGGGAGGAATATTAGATATGTTAGACACCTTAAGTTATTCACAGAAATAATAAAGGCAGGATATTAATTAATTAGTTAACATATAGTTCATGTAATCTGCAAAATATGGATTACATGAACATAAAGAAAGGCATAAGGAAAGGGACAAATAGAGGAATGGACTCATGATTTATTATAGCAATTGCCTGAACTGGTCATTTATGCTCCTAATAATCTCTGCTGTATTTTAACATACCACTATAAAAATATTATTTTTATAGAATTATCAGAATTATAGTACTTCTGACCTTCCAAAATAATGGTCTTCTTGTACTCCAACCAGGAAAGTATTTACATTTTAACTCTTGATATTGTAGTGCATACCTATAAAACTATAGGGCATGTGGTATAAAAGAAATAGGTGTATCAATTATGAATTGTGCTTCAAGTCTATTTTCAGGTCTTTTTCATTTTCCCATCAGTAATGGACACAATTTGAATGTCACTAGCAAACCTCACCAAACAGTCCTGATGAACTGCAAGATTCTGCTCTTCAGCGACGTACATAATCGCACATGGTTCACCCTTTGGACAAAGGGCACACATCCTTCTCGTCATCTTTGCCATTACTGGAGTCACCTTAGAAAAATATTTTACAGATTAAAACAATATTAACCCATCACCCCAAGGCTCTAAAGTCTAAACAATACATTTTTAAAAATCCACTACTGCATTTCACAAGCTAGTATCCTCTAGCGCTACTGATATTTTGCTTTGAATGTCTTGACATGGGGCTCAAAAATATTTAATTAGAAAAATGCTTAAATCTGTCTGTGAACTCCCACCAGGTCCTCTAAAAAACTTTAAGATATTTTTCAAGAAGAGCAAAGAATCTTTATGTGCGGTTTCATAAGATGAGAGACCATTACTTGGTTATAGGGGTAAAAAAACATTTTTCCTTGCATATTCAAGATGCACTTTCTAGCATTTTCAGTTGTAAACTCCTACATAGTATTTTTGGTCTAATACCTTGGAAGGTTGCTCTCAGTTCTGTTTGTGAAACGGGTACTGTACATGAGTTAAAACACAAATATAAAGGTAACAAGAACAAAGCTAGAAATTAAAATGAGTAACCTGTTTCACAGGATAAATTCAAATTTGACACACACAGACACCATAATTTCATAACAGTAATAATATTAATTTTGGAAATGAAGATGATCAGATCAATCTATTACCTGCCAAATACACAGAGTTGTCTCAAGGGGAACTTTGGATGTCAGATAATACCCAATTTATCATATCCTCAGTACAGCCAGCCAATCTCGTTTTAAATTTGGCAATACAAAACTGGTGGGCAACATTGTCCAATTCTAAACTGCTTCCAGCCAATTTAGATAAGCTTTTCAAAGAAGCACCTGGGCACTTATTGCCATGCAGTTTTCATTCTGTATATTTCTACTTTATACTCCTAAAAAGCAGAGTTTTTGCAATAATTAGACGGAATCTGACATCAGTGAGGCAGAGGAACAGGGGGAGCCTGTTCCCAGTGTATGCTTGCGCAGAGCTGCCAGAAGGCAAGAACAGTTAAGACAAAAGGGGTGACTCAGGAGTAAGGCTTGGAGATGATTGGCCCCTCCCATAAGACATAAAAATGGAGCAAAGGTACAGGAGCTTTTGCAGGAAGCCACCCCCTGAAATAAATAATAAATAAAAATGCCAACATATAGCCAATATCCTATTATTTACCTGGACTTTTCTTGCACTCTCTGGAATATCGTCTTGCACCCCCAGGGGGTGCGAGCATCCCAGGTTGGGAACCCCTGGTTTAAAATCTGAAGCTCCGTGTTGACTTTGTGCTCCATTTGGCCTTGTACAATTAGTGGCAAAATCAAATTCACCATGGAAATGGAAACAAACAAACAACTACCATTCCTAGATGTACTAATCTACAGAAAAACAGATGGCACACTAGGACACACCACATACCAGAAGAAAACACATACCAACCGCTACCTCAATGCCCAATCCCACCACCACCCAGCACAGATAAACTCCATGGCCAAAACACTAATCGCCAGAACCAAACGCCTGGCAGACAAGACACACATAAAGACTGAACTATGCACCCTGACTAAAGTACTGACAGCCAACGGCTTCCACAAAAGCAAAATCACCAGCTTGATCCACAAAAACATACTGAGACATAATGGAGACCCAGAAGATGAACAGACCTATGGAACAGCTGTCCTACCCTACATAAGAGGTACTACAGATAAAATCAGTAAGATACTACACAGGCATCACATCAAGACTGCCTTCAAAACAGACAGAAAAATAGCAGCCATCCTAAGAAACCCCAAAGATAAAACTGACCTGGAAAACCAAGGCATATATGAAGTCCCCTGTGCATCATGCCCTGCCACATACATTGGACAGACCAATAGTACCCGCCTAGATGAACACAAAAATGCAGTAAAAAAGCTGGAACACACTTCCTCACTAGTCCAACACATGAATGCCACAGGTCATAGCATCGACTTCAATGGCACCAAAACCCTAGCCACTATAGAAAACCCCAGCTACAGAATTATCAGAGAAGCCATAGAGATTGAAAAAAGACCAGAAAGCATGAATAGAAGAGATGACTCCACCAGACTGTCAATTATCTGGAAGCCTGCACTCTCAACCAAAAAAATCTCCACACCACTAGCCAGGCAAACACCTGGGCACAAACAGATCCCCCCTGATACCTCCAGCTCAAACACACCCCAACCATGCACCCAGATGAAACCTAGCTTCCTAACAAATGATAGCCATCCATTTACCCGGAGCCAAGCTGCACAAAAGGCCTCCAATAAAGGAACACAATGTTGCCAACCAATCAAGACACAAAAAGAGCTACTAAACAGACAGAAGATATTAGAAACACCAATCAAGCAGAACACAGCAAACTCCAAGACCAATAAACACAGACCTAGATTCCCAACCAATCAGGATGAAGAAAAAACCATTCAGGCACAGCAATAGGCTGCCCCAAATTTAAATCTCAAACCACTATAAAAGCCTGACTCACAGATGAACACTATACAGAAGCCTGATGATGGCAGATGAGATTCTGCCGAAACGTTGCTACAACTTTAAAAGCACAACTACAATGACGTGGGAAAATACCCGAACAAAGCTGAATACCATACATGTAAGTACCCGCGAAAACTTAAGAAAACACACACACACACACACACACACACACACACACACACACACACACACATATATATATGTTCTGTCTCCCCTTTCCTCTTTCCCAAAATATGAAAGAGTACAAACTCACACCAACACAGGCGGGCAAGCTGGCTCGGACTTCACAGAGTTAATTCTTTGGAATTGATAATATTCTTGGCATTCCCACATGTCCTGCCTGCCAAGTCCAAACTGATAAAGTCTTACTCACAGAAAATCACAAGGCAGTCCACAAAAATAGTCATTCATGAGGAAAATCTGAAGTAAGGTTAAACTTTGTCCCATACAAAGTTTCAGGAGAAAACACACCCACTTTTATCCCCTGTGGGGTGTGGCTCAATGACTTAGCTCATTCTCTGACCTTCCCACACCTCCTACGTTGCTGCTCACGTTTCTCCCTACGATGCTGCTTAGGATCGAGCCAACACTCTTTCTCTTTACTCCCTGTCAGGGGCTGCTCCGATATGCTTTCCTCCTGATTAATCTCAGGCTGTTCCTCTCAGTTGTCTGATGGAACCTGAGGCATTATCAGGGAGGAAGGTCCTGGGGAGGAAGGCATTGACAGAGTGGAAGGTCCTGGGGAGGAAGGCATTCCCAGTTCCTCCTCCTCATCTTCCAGGTCTTCTTCCTCTGACAGCATAGGCTTGGGAATCGGGGCCACAACATACATACATATATACATATACATATTTGTTTTCTTAAGTTTTCGCGGGTACTTACATGTATGGCATTCAGCTTTGTTTGGGTATTTTCCCACATCATTGTAGTTGTGCTTTTAAAGTTGTAGCGACGTTTCAGCAGAATCTCATCTGCCATCATCAGGCTTCTGTATAGTGTTCATCTGTGAGTCAGGCTTTTATAGTGGTTTCAGTAGGCTGCCCCAAATTTAAATCTGAAACCGCTGAGTGATAGGATCCATTAGCTTAGCAAAACCTGGAATGAAGGTTCTATAGTAACTGGCGAACCCCAGAAGACGTTGCACGTCCTTTACTCGATGAGGGGCTTCCCAACTACACAAGGCCTCAACTTTTTTAGGGTCCATAGCGATGCCCTCGGGAGAGATGTTATGCCCTAAAAACTCTATTGAAGACTGAAAAAAGAAACACTTCTCCAGTTTTGCATAGAGCTTATGCCCCCGAAGACGCTGCAGCACTTGACGGACCTGATGAAGGTGGTGATCCCTGGACTGGGAGTAGATCAAAATATCGTCCAGATACACCACGACAAACCTATCCAGCATATCCCGAAAAATGTCGTTCATCAAATGCTGGAATACCGCAGGACCGTTGGTCAGACCAAATGGCATGACGGTGTACTCGAAATGACCATAACGAGTACCAAACGCCGTCTTCCACTCGTCCCCCTTGTGCATCCGAACCAGGTTGTAGGCCTCACGCAGATCGAGTTTAGTGAAGATAGTAGCCTCCCGCAACCGCTCCATTAATTCCAGAATGAGCGGCAAAGGATAACTATTCCTCACTGTGATAGAGTTTAACTGGCGATAATCACAACATAAGCGTAATTTTCCCGACTTCTTTTTAACAAAAAGAACGGGAGCCAAAAGAGGAGACGACGATGGTCGAATAAACCCCCGAGCCAAGTTTTTATCTAGAAACTCTCGAAGCGCAGCCAACTCGGGCTCTGACATGGAGTATAATCGACCCTTGGGCAGTGGAGCATTCGGTATCAAGTCCACGGGACAAACATAAATACGATGCGGTGGTAATTGATCCGCCTCCTTCTCGCTGAAAACGTCAGAGAAGTCCGATAACTCCGAAGGTAGAGAAACAGCAGGAGTGGCGATATCTTGACCAGCGCAGATATGTCTCAGATGGTCTACACATTGAAGACTTGGAAAAGAAATGGCATTCTGTGCCCAAGCCACCAACGGATCGTGCAAATGCAGCCAGGACACGCCAAGAACCAAAGGGAGATGAAGGTTCGAGGTGATATAAAAACTTATCGCCTCCTCGTGATCCCCAATGATCATACGCACTGGCTGGGTGGCGAAACGAATGGGCCAAGACTTGAGCTCATGCCCATCCACGGTTTCTACCTTAATGGGTGGATCCACAGCAACCAATGGGATCTCATAGTGCATAGCAAAAGCTCGGTCCATAAAGCTGGTTGTAGCCCCTGAGTCCACCAACGCAACAGCGGGAATTCCCTCCTTCTGGGACTGTAAAAAGATTCGAGTGTCCAGAAGTAAATGCCGAGGAGGGCCAGGATTTGCTTCAGCAATTTGAGGTGGGGATGTGAAACGTGCCCGACCTAGGATTTCCTTGAGGTGAGGTCTACCCTGTTTTCCCGACGAGCCAGGAGTGGTTTCAGGTACGGGTCTGCGGGTCCCTCTCCGTTTGCAGGAATTAACAAAATGTCCCAGACCCCCGCAATAA